AATGAGTCAGTTAGGAACATCCTTAGTATGATTGCATACATCTTGAATCATTGCTAAAGGTAGGAAGCACAGGACAGAACAGCTTCTAAGTGAATACCGACAGAGGACAGTTTGAGGACACTGATTGGAGTCCCAAGGTGGTTTACAGAAGCTTAAATCAGGACTGTGACTCATGGGGGAAGATGAGGGGAAGATGAGGGGAAGATGAGGGGAAGCAGGTTCAGGCGGGGACAAGGAGGACCGAGGCTGGCGAGGAGGCAGAGTTAGGTGGGGCGTCATTACTTTAAATATTTAAAAGATTTTATTTTCCTACAGATATTAAAAATCTGTGGAAATGAAACCCCACTCGTCTCTGGTCTGGAGTTCAGCGTGCAGACTCACGGGCTTCCTGCTTTGAGGTGAAGGCAGTGTGACAGTGCAGTGCATCATGGGAGCTGGCGGGCACACAGTGAAGCGTGAGTGAGGTGAGGACAGAGCCCGCACACAGACCGCTGATAGCTGGGAGTCTGATTTCAGGGGCTCCACGTCCAGGACTCGAGGGTCCCCTCTGAGGAGAAACCTCAAAGGTTTGATTACAGCAATCAGCCGTGATCGCTCCCCCGTAAACGCTGTGCTGAGCACGATATGATGTCATTTATCATCAGTCTACTTCACAATAACACACAGGATGATTGGAAGATAATAGCTGCGCCCGTTACCTGATTACTGATGTTTCACGCAGGACGATGAATCATCTGTCATTAATCTTTATCACAGCTCTGTCACAGCACAGTGTGTGGATGTTCCTATTGTTCATCTCAGCTCGTCAACTATGTGTCTGATGTTCCTACGTTAGGATTATTGATGACCACAATCAGTGGCGCCGCCAGGATTAAATTCATAGTAAGCACAAAAACCTTTCCAGTGCCTGTAGGACAACTTGATCTGCTACGATTCCACGAGCACATACACCATCGCAGTGACCGAGCGAGCAAGAAAAAGAGAGAGAGGGCATGCTAACACTACCTAAACAACACCAAAACTCAGATTAACCACAAATAGTCAGAAAAATTGGCGTTAAAAAGAGTTTAAAAAGTGAATTATTGTACTGTAGTATCTCTGAAGAGGAAGATGTGTCCGCACATTCGAGCAAATGCCACAAAAAGTTTTCATTCCAACACAACCACAACGTTTGGACCAGAGTTCTTCTTCAGGTGATCATTTTTTTAAACAAAGTTATATATAGATTTCAACACCAACAGGCTGATAGACACTGTGTGGTGAAACGTGTCTCTGAGTCCTGACTGTCTACAATGAGGGAGAAGCTCGAGTCCCGCTGGCTGTGTTGTTGTCAGAGCCGTGTTTACATGGACGGGACGGCCGGCTCCTCCCCTTGTGTAGAAAAGCTGTTTTAGTCAAGAACTAGAGAGAAGAAGAAGAACATACTCACTGATTATTTGGATGTTAGTAAGAGTTTTTAGATCACGCTCATTCTGTGTCAGTTTACATGAAATGTGAAGCTACGAGCTAACTAAAGAGCGCTAACATTAGCATGCTAACACAACAATGTGAAGCTACGAGCTAACTAAAGAGCGCTAACATTAGCATGCTAACACAACAATGCATGACACAGGTAACTGCAGCTCGAGGACAATTTTGTCCGCCGCTTGTGCTTAACTCCTTTGTGCAAACACGAGTGTAGAGGGTTGGAGGTGTGTCTCTGGAGGAGAGCGGAGGCTTCAGTATGGAGGAGGCGTGGCCAAACAGCAGTTTGTTTTGGTTTCATGCTGGTGCTCAAGGGCGACATCTACTGGATCAAAAAGTCGCCCATTCTCTCTTTTATAACAGACAGCTTTATTAAATCAAAAACTTTGCAAACTGAAATAAAAAACACAATCTCCCCTTCTCTCTGCATTTCCTTCACCCCCATCCCTTGCTTATACTTTCCCTCAGTGTGATTTGACTCACACATCCTAATATTCTACCTAGTCCTTAATCCAGTGATGCTGAGAACTGAGTCAGACCAACAAGACGGGCGGACAGGAACGCAGAAGAAAAGAAAACCACCGGAGAGGCAGAAGTTGGGCTCCAGGCAGAGCCGAGCGACGACATAAAAGAATCTTCAAAACTCCTCGGAGAAGCCTTTGATATGCAAAGAGCCGCGCTGTGGAATGACTGTCCTGACAGGCTTTCATTGTGCATGAGACAAAGAAGTGGCACTTTTTAGCCAAGAAAAAAAAAACGACATTCCTGTGAATCCGAAACTCACTGTTACATCAAATATATAAGCTCCTGACAGGCCTGCAGAGGAGGAGGAGAAGGAGCCGCACAGACCCTCGTATATACACCAGAGGTAACACAGAGGTCACTGTTAGCTCATGTCTGCAGGAGAGGAAACGAAGCAGAGGCTGAGCACATTCGTCACAAGCTGAGAGTGAAGGCAAACAGTGCAGACTCATATATTCTGATTCAACATCTTTGTAACCATACTGTCTGCAGATGAGATTTGTTGATATTGCAATTAGTGCAGGAATGACTTTAGATTGAACCATCTGCTAGAAAATAATTGCTTAAAATCAAGCAAAAAAGGAGAGGTGATTCATTCAATATGTAACTCTGACACCTAGTGTTTAAAATGGGTACTGCAGTCCAAAGTCTAAACATCATAGAGAGCTGTCTCCCCCCCCCTCCTCTCTAGAGTGGATGCTCACTCAGGTCACCATGTGGTGGACTCTGCAGCTTCAGTGTTTATCCAGCTCTGCATGGGTCTGTAAACCTTTCTGTGTTCTAACCTCTCTCCATTTTTCAAAAGCATCTCCAATATTGATCCTAGTTTGAGCACGTTTCTGCTCGTGGAGCTTATTAGAAACATGCAGAGGCTTTTTAGGTCGGGTACAATCACTTCTATCTGAACCACTTCTCTTGACCGCTTCCATCGCTGCAGCACCTGTTGACCTGATAACTGCTCTCATATCTGGCAAACCGAGGGGTGTCCAAAACGGCCGTGAGGGGGGGTGTCTTAAAAGCGCCTACCTTCTCTGGTCCAAACAAATCCAGAGCATTCAGGAGCAGAATCTAAAGTTAGAAGGAGGACATACTGGCTGCTGCATTGTTGTTAGAGAAGCCAGCACTTCAACATAGCATGTTTCCTTAATGTCTGATCAGATAGTAAGATCACTTTATCATTTACCTCACTACATATCTTACAGACTGCTCCTTTAACAAAGCTTATTAGACAATTATAAATGTTTTATCTGTATTTCGGGTGCTAAATTCTTGCTACAAATCCTCATGAAGACAGATGCATTGAGAGGGAAAGCTCTGATTCATTTAGAAAAGGATGATGGCACATCTCCACATCCATCGCATCTCGCCTTCATCATTAGAACTTGTTTCTGGCAGAGCTGCCTGCATGTTTCAGAAATAAATATTTAGATGATTCACAGTCCATCAGCACGTCTGTGTGCACCCAGCTAAAAGTCATCATGTCACTCCACTATTTTAATACTCTACTCTAACTTCTTCATCGGTGACGAGCTTTGAGTTTGGGCTAGAGCACGCAAGAGGTAGAGAACAAGCAGGGAGACAGGGAGGCGTCTGATTGGTTCATCAGATTGGTACCTCGTGGCAGACATTGGTTGAAGTTTTTACAGACTTACAAACTGATACAGATGACGGATTTTCTTTGTTCCTTTTTCAGAGAACATGAGTTATTAATTTCTATCAGGACCTAAAGACAATTTACACCAAAATCTTAAAAAGTTGATCTGGAGGAAAATTACCAACCTTGCCTTTAAGCTAAAATGCATGCTGTACTTTGATTTGGAGCGGACCGGGACTTTACATGGAAATAGTTGTCTGTGCTTTTCTTTTCCAGAGAGAATAAAAGTGCTCATTGAAGAGAATCCCTGTGTCACAGCATCATTCAGAACTGTCACAACACAACACAGAACCCCATAGCTTACTGTGATATAATCTGAACCAAGCCTTAAAGGGCCCATATTATCCAAGTGTCCTGTGCATGTTTAGGCACATCTATTTGCAAAAATTCAAAGTCCGCGTAAAGGCGGCTTCTCCTACGTCCTCCTGTTAGCTGTAGCATTAGCTGCATGTAACGCTCGGTTCTAGCCCCCCTCGAAAAGAATTTGCCAGTGTGACGTCTTGTCAGTGTTATATCACTGATCTAAGCCCATTGGCAAGCCCAGCAGCTCCTGTTGTATGCCCGTTAACTGACAGCCGACAGGCCGACCAATCAGATCAGATTTGGCACACGTGGGGACTCTGAACGTGGGCACTTCAGAGCCTTAGAGAGAGAGTCAGAAGAGAGCCGGTGCACGGAGCGGCAGGACAGGAAAACAGACACTTTTTTCAACTTCAGCTATTGTGAACATACTTTAGTAGTTACATGGATTAAATAAACGAACCCCAAAAAGGGCATAATATGACCTCTTTAAGATTTAAACTCGACTTAAACTTGTCAGCAATCAGAGACATCACCTGACATGTGAACACGATGCCTCGGAGGGAGGATCGGTTGTTAAAAAGCATTTTATGGTTACGGCAAGACAAATGGAGGCAGGATGTGATGAAGATGATGTTTGAATGAGCAACACAATCAGAAGCTCGTCCATCCTCACAAACACACGGTAACACGTTACCATGGTTACGCAATCTCTTCCCTGCAAAAAGCCGTTCACTCATTTCCAAAGAAAAAAAAAAACTACCGATGAACAAGCAAGACAGCTGAGAAGATCACATGCACTGTGAAAAAAAGAAAAACGTCTTTTAAAATAAAACCATCTCGCCCTGCACTCAGGCTCGGAGTCGTATCTTTTTATAAAGTCGCCTGACGGGCAACGACTGTTTTACTCATTTAAATAAAGCGTATAATTGTGTTTGAATCAAAATAACTCTCAGCTGCAGAACACGTTTCTTTTTTTAAAGAAGACGTTTTTTTGTCTTTCACAGTGTTAAAGTGATAAACATGATCCGAGTCACAAGCAGCGGTGGCGGGGACTTACGTTCTGTTTCCCCACGATGTTGTCGAAGGGGAGCTCGGGGCTCCAGGACGCCTCGTTGAAGGTGGTGCTGCTGGCCCGCCGGTCGGCAGAGCTGGCCGACTCCTTCATGATGTCCTCGGGCAGCGTGAGCAGGCTCTCCTCCGGCTGCTTGATGAGGTACGTCTCGATGTTGTGCCGGCGGAGGAAGTCGTTGCGGTCCTTCCCGTGGCCCTCCTCCACCTCGTAGTCGTCGTTTAAACAATCCAGAGCGGCTTTGGAGATGTGGATCCTCCTGGAGAACGACAGGATGGAAAAGGTCCCGTTTCATTTACTTCAATGTTGTGCAAATGACATTAAAGGTGCAGTAAGACCAAAATACTCTTGTATCTTTTACAGGAAGAATGAGCGACATGTTCCACATAAATAAATCATAAAGTCTGTCCTGTGTAAATGTGTCTCTGAGTCCTGACTGTCTACAATGAGGGAGAAGCTCGAGTCCCGCTGGCTGTGTTGTTGTCAGAGCCGTGTTTACATGGACGGGACGGCCGGCTCCTCCCCTTGTGTATAAAAGCTGTTTTAGTCAAGAACTAGAGAGAAGAAGAAGAACATACTCACTGATTATTTGGATGTTAGTAAGAGTTTTTAGATCACGCTCATTCTGTGTCAGTTTACATGAAATGTGAAGCTACGAGCTAACTAAAGAGCGCTAACATTAGCATGCTAACACAACAGGAAACAGGTGACTGCAGCTCAAGACAAGGACAATTTTGTCCGATGCTTATTGCTTAACGGTGCTTTTATGGTGCTGCCGTGGTGCAGCTGGTTGATGTTGTACATCGGGGTTTAATAAGGAGCACGTGTCGAGTTTGCAGCGTCACTCGACAACAGATGCCAGCAGCGAGAGAGCTAACGTCACCTCCTGTCTCGAGGCCAGGCAGGATCATCAGGCAGGGTGAAAATCCACAGAGGATTAAACCGAGAGACACTTTCAACTGAGCATGGCGAAAATGTCATCACTGCATCAAACTGCCCACAACACAACAACCACAAGACAAAAACTAGCATCCTTTTTCCTCAGGCTTCTATGTTTACACTTAAATACCCTCAGAATGAACACCATGAGCTGTAAGATTTATGGTTCTTGGTTGGCCTCCAAAAATATTTTGTTTTTGTACAAAAGGAAAAAGATAAATCAGATGGTTCTGCCCTTTTTTTTCCCCGTCCCGTCCATGTAAACACAGCTCTGACAACAACACAGCCAGCGGGACTCGAGCTTCTCCCTCATTGTAGACAGTCAGGACTCAGAGACACATTTACACAGGACAGACTTTATGATTTATTGATGTGTGACATGTCTTCTTTTAAAAGTGATACTGTGACATGGAACATGGAAAAGAACATTTGTGACATCTGGTGTAGATTCATTTTCAGCTTTGCCTTTACCTCGAAGTCCTCTCACAAAGATTAGCATGCTTTGCTTGCAGTGAAAAACATTTGCGCATTGTTTTTGTTTAGCTTTGCCGCTGAATGTAATCATCTGCTTCTGTGTCCACTACCAACAACCACATTTAAAGCTACATATTTGGAGTGTACTCACCCGGGGATCCCTCCAGACTCCAGCTTGTTGGCGATGTCCACGTCCCAGGACCAAACGTCAAACTGCCACTTCCTGAGTCCCAACACACCGCACAGCACCGAGCCCGAGTGGATGCCGATTCGCATGTCGATGTCGTGTTTCGTTCGCGATCTCACATATCTGGAAGACACACAGTTAAGTCCAGTTCAGTCAGGATAGAGTCCTTCTTCAAGCAATCGTTTTTACTTTTTTTTTTGCACATGCTTGGGAAAACAGTAACGATTACATTTAACATTTGACAACCAAGCAGAAACCTCTTGGGATGATAAATTAACAGAAATGTCCAAAAACTGCAGTGTCCACTTGAGGCTGCTTCCAAAAGTGAGTCAATCCCCATAATAGTGTTGAAGTCAAGATCACACTAACCAAGACAAAGACATACTCAGGACCAGAGTGCGCCAAGACCGAGACAAGACCAAGACATTTAGGGATCAAGACCGAGTCAAGACCGAGACCAGGGCAGGGCGAGACCCAAGACCATACATTTTACTTAAGAGTCATCATCTTGTGTTTAGGGGGCGTGTCACTCACTTAGACCGTAACACCGGGAAGGTTGCGGTCGTAACCAGGGGATAAAAATCTACAAAAAAAAAACGACAACTGAATTTAAGTTATTCTTTTTCCTTCCTAATAACAGTGATGACGTGGAACAATATCCTCTCCGTGGTGGTCTTGACCGGTCTTGATCTAAAATTCAGAGTTCCCCCAGTCTGAGACCGAGACAAGACCGAGTAAAAAAAAAGAGACCTTCAAGAAGTGGTCTAAACACGATACATGTCAAACTGTTGTTTTATATTCAAGAGCACAAAGCATTTCAAAGAGCATTTTAAAAAGAGCAGAACATCATGTTGTCATTTCATTCTTTGTTTTCCCAGAAGATGACAGAAGCAGGACAAAGTGAGGCTGATAGATGTCTGTGAGGAGCAGAAAGACCTGTCCCTCCCAGCCCATCCTGCCCCGCCACAGCCCGCCCCTCCGCTCTCACTTCATGCCTCACAGCAGCAGTGAGTGATTAATGTGAGTTGAAAGGCATCCTGGGAGTTTAGGACAGGTGCTTAAAGTCAGTGTGCTGCTGAACGGCTCCCTGGGCTGGAAGTAAGCTCGAGCAAACTGCAGTTATTCATGATAACGATGAGGATGATGATGTGATACTTTACTGGCTGTGCAGTAAAGAGCTTGACCTCCCAGCAGAGGTCAAAGGTTAGTTCTGATTCGTACATCATCACACCTGCCTTACTTTAGTTTAGAAGGAAATGAGCTGATCTGATGTGACTGTCCATTACTGTATGGTACAGTACAATTCCCACGTCCTCTGTGCCACCAGCGCCACTGCGCTCTGCTCCGTTTCAAATACGCTGCGAGTCTATTTTCGACGGAGCTCGCTGTTAGCACGCGTCAAGCTCGACAGAATATGACAACCCGGACAGGAAGTCAGACAAGGAAACGCAAAGCCAATTTCAAAATAAAACACATCGTATTTTCCATCACTTTATCAACATGACGTCAAAACGTCAGAAAGACAAAGCAACATGTTGTTAGCACGTTTCTCTTTTTTATTCCCGCATGATCTTGGCATTCTCCTGTGATGTGTGAACAGCTGATCATGTTCCAGAAACAGATCCAGTGGGACATGTGAGGATCGGGGGTAAGAGCACAGAACCAAATCTCAATCATTAGCCTGCATAAAAGGATGTATGCGGACAACATTTAGTAGATTCTGTTTATATCACTCACTTATGAAACTGCAAAAACCAAAAGAGCAAAAACTTCAAATCAAAGTGTTACTAAGAGGTATATTTCCATCTGTAGCCTGCGGTCAGTTCACACGGACGATCATGCTGTTTTGGGTTTGTTTTAGCTACTCTTTGTTGAGAACCAATCACAAAGGAGATGACTCGACGAGAGCCTCCCCCGCTCCCTGCTCGTGTTTGACCTCGGGGATTTTAACAGGAAAACTTCCATCTTGATGTGCATTAGTGGTGATGATAAACCAGGCCAGGAGCTCTCCGTCGGGTGTTTTGTGACTCGGCTCCTGATGAGGCCGACTTCTTGTTCATGATGAACATCAAATGAATATAAACGAAGGGAGATGAAGAGTAAAGAGTACTTAGAGATAATTCAGGTTATTAAGCTGACACAAAGGTGGCTGTTAACCCGGCACGTATGAACATAAAGAAGTGTCTCACAGGAGTTTATGTAATGAAAACAACATCTCTGTTGTTTTAGGCTGAGTCACTCTGACATCACGCTTTGACGGAGCGGATACACCTCTGAAGCATTCACTTCCACCATGAAGTTCAGCTGCAAAGCGATGGAGGACACAGGAAATCCTAAATAATACAGAACATTGATTCAGTTTGCTGTCATTGTTCTTCACATGTTTTCATTTGTCTTTAGTTTCTATCATAGAGTCGTCTCTATTATATCTCTTTCTCTCTTAGGTCAGTTTTCCCCCTGATGTTCCAGTCATGTATTTAAGTTATTCTTGTAATGATCCACGCACTGCAGACTTCTACCTGCTCGAGCTGTAAACAAGACTTTTTATCCAAAGCGTCGTACATCAGAGAGTGAGAACAACACAAGTGAGGAAACAACAACAGGAAGTGCAGACTGCGTCCTCAAAGGTCCTGACACAACAAGGAGATCGCAGGTCGTCGGTCTGTGTCCTGCTCCGCCCCTTTTTTGGGCAATTTGACATGTTGGTTCGGCGACGGTGGTTGGTCGGTCGCCGCCCCGCCCTCCTCAGACTGCATGCATTTGTTGACAAGCAGAGGGGTGGTTATGTCATGGTTCAGTAATATTAACGGATTTTGTGCAAATCTGACTCTGCAAGCTTCTTCAGCACATTGAAGAGACAAGATTTTGTAGCAGCAGCTCAGCTCAGCTCATCCTGACTTTTACTCCGCCTGCCACTGAGGGTTGTCGACACACAGTTGTTCTTAATAACTGGACTGCTTGTTTGAAGAAATGGAGACCTCTGTGGATAACTCTACTCCCCATAAACACCCTGTGAATGACTGGAGGGTCACTGTGAGATGTTTTAGAAAGCTTCACAGCCTGTTCAGCTCTGTGCACGTTGGTATTGGATGTGAATGAACGACGCCAGCAGGTCTCTGTATCCGTCTTTTTAATGTACATGTTATTAATTAACATTGAAGCCGTGTGTAGCAGGTTGCACTCCTCCCGCAGCACAAAGTGGTCGGCTTGTACTCAGCTCACCATATCGACTTAATAGTTCGCATCACAAATCTCACAGCTTATCCATCCCTAATCCCTCGATTTCCTCTCAACATCAGTCCTCCCTCTCCTCCCTCTCCGTCACACCCGATGTGTTTGTGACGCTGCCAAAACGCTGCAGCGACAAACAAGATAACGGGGAGTGAAAAAAAAAAGCACATCCTCTAGGGTGTTTGAGACGATCACAAAGAAGGGCAGAGCGACGTTATGTCTGCTGCATACCCTCGATGTGAAGATTACACCGTCAGCTATGAGTTGTGATTCATGAGCTTATGAGATCTGCAAATCCTCGTCGTGTAATATATATTTTTTTAAATGACACCATCACTGGGAAATATTTTTTCCTTTTCAGCCCTGTGATGCACGAACGTGTGATACGATTTGGACCCTGTGATTGTTTGTTTTGTAGAAACGCAGCCGGGGGGGGTACATTCTTGCAAATGCAAATATTTCAGTGAGGCATCTTTCAGATCACAAAGCCCGCATACAGAAGAGATGCTCTGTGAGAGATGAGATAACTGCAGGGAGGGGTTAGAGGCTGCAGCGTGGAGCATCTTTGATGTCTCGTTTCACTTTAACAAACTCTCAGACAGCTCAGCTGACGAGTCCAAAGTCATATCCACCTTATGACATCACACATTGACCTTATGACATCACACATTGACCTTTGTTACCTTTCCTTTGAGCTGTTTGACCTCACTTTGGGATCCCTAACCACTTCCTGTTTCTGTGCTTAACTTCTTGTCCTAACCTTCACTCTACAGGAAGAGTCCCGAGATCCCGAGAGATCGGGGAATGACATGCGGAAAAAGGAGCCACAGGTCGGATTCAAACCCGGGCTGCCCCCCTGGAGGACCACAGCCTCCCTACATGGGTGTGTGCGCTCTAAAGTGTTGATTAAGATAAAACAGAATCATACACAGAGACAGAACCAGTGTGGAGGACGTACCTGATGGTCTTGATCATGCTGAGGCCCATCTCCACACAGCAGTGGGCGTGGTCTTGTCTGGGCTCAGGTAGACCGGACACGCAGTAGTAACAGTCTCCGAGGATCTTTATCCGCAGACAGTGATTCTCCTGCAAAATCAACGCTCACATCAGGTTAACTGTAGACTAGAATCCAGAACACCTCCTGACCTCACAGCAGAAGAGAAGACGAGCGGTGTTCAATAGAAACAATGAATGAAAAATAAATAAAGCGTATCAGGTCGGTTCCACTTTAACGCGCAGACCGTGAAATCCTGACCGGCCAAGCGTGGCGGTCTGATCTCAGACGAGCAGAAGAGCCCACAGAGTGAGCGTCCGATCAGTTATTCACTCTGGTGTTTTCAATTAAATATTCATGCAGTGACTGGAGGAGTTTTATGAAACCCCTTAGAGGGTGAGGACGAGCCGCGTGAAAGGCAACCGAGAATCGTCTTTAAGTGTACAATATGTAGACCCTCAGAGCAGTAACTGGTCCAGCCTCAGGACCCATCAGCAGCTCCCAAATTCTGATATTTTTACAACCAATGAGATTTGTTTTATGAAAAATGGTGCAATTTTGACCGCAGACTGTCCAAACAAATCACAAAACAAACGTGTTTTAAATGTGATTGTTAGACCTTTTTGACACTTTTTTTTTCTGGTCCCACTGAAAACGACTGCATGACCCCCTTTTGGGTCCGACCCACCAGTTGAGAACCACTGCCTTAGAGACTGTCGCAGTGAAGACGAGCCACGTGAGAGGCTACAGAGAATCGCCCTGGGTTTTTCTTTAAACGTACAATGTTGAATTTTATGACACTGTTTACATTCAAATATCTAAATTAATTAAAATTAATAACTAAACTTGTTATACATGTTTTTCAAAGACAGAGAAATCATGTTTATCGTTGCCGTGGAAACAGTGGCTGTAATGTCAATGACCGCTGCATAATGAAGCGTGAGCTGCTACTGAAAGCTGTCGTATTGTTGCTGTTTGTGCTGCTGTGATAAAAACATCATGTGAATTATAGTCGGATACATCAGCTCGTCTGTAAACATATTCTCTTCCTCAGGTCGGTTTCACCCGGTCGTCATGACTACGGTCAACTCGGAGTTCGTTTTCATCGTGGTGGAGCGAGAACTCCCATGATTCCCCGCCAGCCTCAACGTCATCTTTTGTTGTTTTGATTAATTTACATAGTGCACCTTTAAGATACGGAACATAAAGTCCAGATCTGATCGCACCCCGAGTGAGGAACACGCCCTGGTCTGCTGGATGTTTTTTTTCAAAGCGTTTGATCTGGGGATGAGAATCTGCATCACTTACATGTGCGAGGCGGTCGAAGCGTGCAAAGAGTTCGTTCAACATTCGCACCAGCTCCTGCGCTGACAGCGTCGTGGAGAGGTTTGTGAAGCCTTTAACATCTGCGAAAAGAATGCTGAATAAAATACGGAAATGTCACTTTAATATCCAGGTCACCACACAAATACTTTAAATACTGACTGCATTACACACTCGGAATGTAAAAAAACAACCCTGCACATTTAAGTAAAGCCCTGCTTTCCCTGAACAATACAAAATGAAGATATAAAAAGTTTGTATTATGACCTTTAACACAAGTAGCAGGACATTATGTGCTTTTCATGGTTTTAAAAAAAAACTGTCAGAATAATGTTGCACTTGTACAGTTTGAATTGTTGGTGCAAAAAAAAAACAGCCTTCATAGAAGTCCAGATTTAGATGTTGAGAAGGAGGCTCTTTTATTAAAGGTCACATATTGTAAAAAATCCTCTTCTCCATGTTCTCTAACTCTAACATGTGTCTCTAGTCGTCTACAAACCCCCCAATGATGAGAAAAGTCCATCCTCTCTGTCTTTTGCCTGCTCCACTTTTCAGAAAATGTGTGCTCAAATAGGCCGTTAGGAGACTTTCCCTTCATGACATCACAAAGGGCAGTAGCCCCTCCCCCAGGTGGGTGACACTCCCACAGCTAGGTGTTTGTTCTGCCCTCTGAGTCTGCCTTCTCACTGTAAACAATAGGACATGGAGCGAGAAAGCACCGAGTACACCCAAGACCCTTCCAGAGAGGAGGCGTGGTCAGACACCGCTCATTTACATATTTAAAGCTACAGACACAGAAACAGCCTGTTCTGAGCAGGGCTGAAATAGAGGGGTTTATAGACATGATCAAATACAGGATCAGAGTGGATTTAGAACAAGAAACTTCACACACATGTTTTGAGGAGCTCTGAGACTTATTTACACTGAAGAGGAGGAGAGTATGTGACCTTTAAGTGTTACTGGTTAAACTGGGGAAGTAGGGAGGGTTCTGGATCTGTAGACTGGTTTGGTGGATGATCAAAAAATAAACCTTCTGACATGTTGGCTTCTCAGTTACTATCTTTGCTCATCTGCATCTTTTATGTTTCTGCTGTATATGAATGAGTCAAACAGAAAGCCAACGGGCGGCGTCCTCACCTGACATTCTCGTAGCGGTGGATGTAGATTCTGTGAAACTGGTGCTGGAGGTGTTCGTCCTCTACATTTGTCATGTCGTTGATCATTTCCAAAACTACAAAACGTGGAAGGACTGATAACACCAGTCTCTCCTGTGGGGGAAGAAAATAAAACACATAAGTCGTCTGAAACAGTCCAAGTATCCTTTCTGCGAAGGAGGAAACCTGGACCTTATTTTGACCCCCTTTGACACGGGGGGGGGGGGGGGGGGCAGGATGGACCTTTATCTTGTCTGAAAACAGCAAATACCTTCACTTCTGACTTCATTGTGAAACACAGAACATGTACCTCCTTTTGTACCTGTCTTGTGTTTTATGTCACCTAAAGAATTTGTGTTAAGGGGCGTGTCCAGAGCGGTGGGTGGGTGCTGTTGACACCACCGAGGGGCTCTCTGAGTACACGTGATAAGATCTTACATAAGATGTACGTTAAAGTAAAGTAGTGAGTTTAAGAAGCTCACTTGTGTTTATCTCAGTGCATAGATTCAGTTTAAATGTGGTCTGCAGTGGATGACATAACATCCAGATTAAGAGCAAAGAGGGATTAGACACAAGTCAAAGAAAAAAAAAACTATTAAGCAGTCAAACACAAGTGAATAAATCTTGTCAAAACAAATTACATAAAGGTCTGTCTGCGAGAAATGATTTCAAGGAGCGCTCTGCCAGCCTAAGCTCCTCCAGCAGGATCCTGCAAAGCCTCCAGGCCTGCAGAAACAACACTCAGATACACATTTTGATCTTGCCGTCATTGTACCCATGCAGAGCCGCTTGGCTGAGGCAGAAACAGATTTGGAGTGGGAGACATGCAGAGTGTTTTTTTTGGCCTCAGGGATCGTCATCAGCGCCAAGTAACTGCCTCCTTCAGTGACTCGATACATAAAACAAAAACAAAAAAACAGAACTGAAGTTTCTCCACCCACAAATCCTCCTAATGTGCTAAAAGAGAAAGTGAGTGTTTGTGCAGGATGACAAGAGGGAGACTTTGGAGAAGAACAAGAGCCTGAACTCAGCAGTTTGTCGGCATTAAGTAAACAACCTGATAGTGAGGGAAGGGAGGGGGAGGGGGGCAATTCTGTCTGGTACATTTACTTGGATCAACCATCAGCAGATCAGACTGTACTTCAGATCAATCCTGCTCCATAGCCGAACAGAAACAAGAAGTTAACCCTCTATGTAAGACTCCTCTTGCATATTAAGTAAATGGACTTGAGAGTTTGTATATTTATTTTCTCGTCTTCTGACAACTCAAAGTGTGTTTACACCGCAGGTCACACTACACATTCACACACTGATGGTAAGCTGCTGAGTAAAGAGACCATCAGAAGTAACTCATCCCATTCATACACATTCATACACCGCCGACGAAGCAGCTGGAGCAACTTAATAATAATAAATAATAATAATAATAATAATAATAATAATAATAATAATGTATTTATAAGCGCCTTTCAAGACACACAAGATCAACATTTAAAAAACAACGATGGATAAAATCAGCATACAATAAAAGAGATGAAATGCAGGACAGTGTAATTGCAGTTAAAATGTTAGAGTGAGTCGGCGATCTTGAACAGATGGGTTTTGAGTCTGGATTTGAAGATGGGGAAGGAGTCAGTGGTGCGAATGTCAGGTGACAGAGAGTTCCAGAGCAGCTGAAAGCTCTGCCCCCCATGGTGCTGAGGCAGGCAAACGGCAAACGAGGGGTTAAGTGTCTTGCCCAAGGACACATCGGACATGTGGCTGCAGGAGCTGGGGATCAAACCCCAGACTTTCCAGTTGAGAGACAACAACTCTACCAACTGAGCCCCACTAACTGGGTAGTAGTTAGTGTGTACGAGCCAAATAGAGACAGAGCAGGGAGGGTCATCCCTTCACCATCATAAGAACACAATTGCAGCAAACTACTGAATAATGTCAACCAATCAATGGTGTGAATCAGAACATTTAGAAGTACACCCCTGGTTGTGTGGACTGTTTATAAAATTGGACTGAGCTGCTTTAAATCTGAATTTGTTCCAACCACAAGTTCAACAGAACGAGTCTCACTGGATGAAAGACCACAATAAACATTTTAAACACGACTCTATTCAAAAGTACCAAACTTCACTGGATGAAACTTTAACTTTACATGTTTGATCAAATACAGGATCAGAGTGGATTCAGAAGAAGAAACTTCACACATGTTTTGAGGAGCTCTGAGACTTATTTAACTGGTTGAGAGAGAGAATATGTGACCTTTTTTAAAAATCCATCCACCCATTATCTTCACTGCTTTTCCCATCCAGTGTTGCGAGGGGTGTTGATCCCAGCTGTCACTGAGCGAGAGGCGGGGCTACACGCTGGACTGTTCACCAGCCAATAACAGGGCTGACATATAGAGACAGACAACCAGCCACACTCACACCTAGGGGCAATTTAGAGTCATTTATTACCTAACGAGCATGTCTTTGGACTGTGGGAGGAAGTTTGAGTACTCGGAGAGAACCCACACATGCACAAGGAACATGCAAACTCCCACGGGGATGTCAAACCAGGACCCTCCTCGATGTGAGGTGACAATAATCATATTTACAAACATGATTAACTGTCTTTGTATCTGGATCATTAACTCTAAATGATGGGAAGAAACACAGTCATAACATTAACAAAACTTGCATTATCTGTAAACTCTACATTGGTCGGTATTCTCTTTTTTTGGGGGGGGTTCATTAAAGAATCTATAAACTATGCCCCTATAACGGTGTCACCTCAAACAGACATGACGTGTCAGCAGCATGTAGTAAACAGCTGAACAGCCTCATAACGCAGTTTCCCAATAAAATAAATAAATAACAGTAAAAGCCAGGCCGCCTCTGTGAAGCTGCATGTCGCCGTCTGAGAGCTGTCGAGGCCTCTTCAAACCTCGAGCACAAGTAAAGAGAGAGAGAGACGCAGGAGGTGTGAGGGCGAGGACACAGAGAGAGAGAGAGAGAGAGAGAGAGAGAGAGAGCGAGAGACTACATCCTCTGCTACATTCACTACAAACACATCTATCTTTATTCATTATTGTCACACTGAATGAAAAGCCATCCAGTGATGCTGTTTCACACACACACACACACACACACACACACACACACACACACACACACACTGTACTGCTGAGTGAAATCAGGTTAAACAAACACTGATGCCACTTGTAATAAATTAAGAAAATGCAGCGATATGACCGACATGTCCGTTTGCATATCATTTATTTGGACTGATGTGAAGTACACACACAGTGTGGGTAATCTGTGCTGACTTGAAACGTCTCATCAATAAAAAACAGTCAAAACAAAGCCTGAGCAGGAGGTTTAACCTTTAGCGTTCACGTCAGGCCGTCAAACATCATCAACAAACTCCTCGTGATTTGAATCAGTATGAAACTTTCAGACCGGTCAGGTCCTTAACTGTGATTTAATAAATCATGATTTAAATTGTTAAAGGTCCAATCAGTGAGATGTGTAGAGAGTAAATGATAAAGGTATCTTACTATCTGATCATTAAGGAAACATGCTATGTTGAAGCAGCAGCCAGTATGTCCTCCTTCTAACTTTAGATTCTGGTCCTGAATGCTCTGGATTTGTTTGGACCAGAGAAGGTAGGCGGTTTTAAGGCGACCCCCCACACGGCCGTTTTGGACGCCCCTCAGTTTGTCAGATATGAGAGCAGTTATCAGGTCAACAGGTGTTGCAGCGATGGAAGCGGTCAAGAGAAGTGGTTCAGATAGAAGTGATTGTACCCGACCTAAAAAGCCTCTGCATGTTTCTAATAAGCTCCACGAGCAGAAACGTGCTCAAACTAGGATCAATATTGGAGATGCTTTTGAAAAATGGAGAGAGGTTAGAACACAGAAAGGTTTACAGACCCATGCAGAGCTGGATAAACACTGAAGCTTCAGAGTCCACCACATGGTGACCTGAGTGAGCATGGACTCTACGGGGGGGGGGCTCTCTATGATGTTTAGAATTTAGACTGGAGTACCCATTTTAAACACTAGGTGTCAGAGTCACATACTGTTTCTTTAACAATGTGAAGGCATTCGTGTTCTAATGTTTTCACTTCAGTAAACTGGTTCTATTTTTAGGTAATAATATTGTGACGCTGTATTTAGATGTGGTGTGCTCGGTGTGTAAAATGAAGGAGAACAGGTGTTTGTGTTTCCTGTGCAGCACCGGCTCTCAGCTCTCAGCTCTCAGCTCGGCTGTGTTCGTGCTGACCTGCTCTCTGTGCTGGAAAGCGGCGCAGTGAATCCCCAAATTGAGGTCTAGACAGACAAACATTTCAGTGGAGCGTTGCTAATGTTTCTGCTGCTGCTGCACCACAACCAAGCGCTGCGGGGTCTAGTGCTGAGGATCCACTGCAAGAAATGTTGATTTTTACAAAATCGACGTGATTTGAAATTTGAGGATATACAGTATCGAGCTCAGGTTGGTCTAAGATCTGTGCTGCACCACAGACAGAGTATTCCTTTTTGATGATAAATCAAACGTCAGTGCTTGTTTTGATACCACTGCAACAAAAAAAGAGAAATAATAGGAACCCAGTCTTTGGTAATTCCTCCAAATAGTCCTGCACACAATGTTTGATGAATGGATACAGCACACACTACACACTACACACTACACACTACACACACCCTACAGCACACACCTGTCTTTTAGAGCAGATCAATCATTAAAGATAAAGATAAACTTTATTGATCCCCCGTGGGGGGGAAATTTGTGCAACAAATTAAAACAACAAAAGATCGTTTAATTACACAGAATGAAGCTGTGAGTCCTCGTCTTTTATTAACATCGTTTCGGCAGTAAACATTCATATATCAGCTTTGAAATGACTTCGTCTTCAGTTGTTTTTGGACAGAATTCAAAACAGTACTTTAGGTTGTTGATGGATGAAGTCTCAGACCACCACCTCTTCTTTGACACTTTGTCATCTTAACAGGAGCGTCCTTTGTCCTTCAGGTGTAAATGGCAACTTCTTAAAACTGAAGACGCCATTCAGAGGAGGAGCGGTGAAGCATCTTCAAGATCTTCAACCAAGTCCTGTTGCTTTTGGGTCCAGCTTCC